GATGATTCTCATTTTCAGTCCATGTTAAGGACCATTAAACTTCATCATTTTTAATTCTCAAGATGTGCATGTGTTCTATGTGTTTCTAGGTAAGAATGAATCTTGTATACCTGAGGCCAATCTTTCACTTTTGAAGCTGATCTCTTGCTGGCGAGACCAATCTGTGCAGGTATGACACAGTCCAGATGTGTATTGTTACTAGAGAACTTTCCTGTTAACAGGTGACAATCTAGTGTGAGGGAAGCCATGAGCCCAATGACATATGGCTAAACTACTTCATCTGCAGGTTATCCCATATTCTGGCCATATTATGGTCTAAGGCTATCCATCTTGATTTACAGGCATGGACAGAACAAGTTCTATACAGTATTCTGTTTTTGAATACTCTCATCTTAACTTCTCTCATTGTCAAAGACTTGCTTTAATAAGTGAGCACATAAAGGTCAGAACATTGGTGACTTTTGCAAATGTTGCATTTAGGCTGGGCACTTGTGGTGGCTCATGCCTATAATCCTAACTTCTCAAGTGGCTGAGATTTGAAGATTGTGGCTCAAAGCCAGCCCAGGCAAGGAAGTCCATATCTCCAATTAACCACCAAAAATCTGGAAATGGAGCTGTTGCTCAAGTGGTATAGCACCGTCGTAAGTGAAAAACCTAAGGGACACAGTGGCCAGGCCCGTGAGTTCAAGCCCCAGTACCCACACACATATTCTCATTCTCTCTCGCTCCCCCCCCCACACACAAACACAAAAGTTGCATTTATTGTAATGATGGAAGTTGAATCAGAAACTCCAGCATCTACTTTGTGACCCACAGTCCTGTCTACTACCTAATCCACATCTTGGAATTAGTATTGTCAAAGAACACGTGTGAAACCGATGCTAATGGCTCATGCCTATAATCCTAGCTACACAGGAAGCTTGATATCTGGATGATCAGGATTCAAACCCAGCCCAGGCAGGAAAGTCCAAAAGGCTCCATCTCCAATAACTAGAAAAAAATTAGCTCGAGATGTGGCTCAAGGAGTAGAGTGTCACCCAAGCAGGCATGACCAAGAAAAAAAGACTTAAAAAGCCTCCTAGATTCTTGTATTTACAAAAACAAAAAAAACAGTTTGTCGGTATTTGCTGCCCACATTTCAGTTGTTTCAGGTGTTACGTATAGCAGTGTGGGACAGTGACATTTCTAGAAAGCCAGCTCAAAACAAAATCCTGAGGTTTGGATTTCTTTTTTTTTTTCTTTTAGGACTCCTATGAGTTTCTAGTATTACTAAAAATAGTTCATTGAACAAAATCATTTTTCCAGGTAACTGAAGCAATACAAGCAGTTCTCTTGGCCGAGGTTCAACAGCACATGCAGAGTCTGAGAAAGATTCCAATCAAGAGCCAACCAGTGCCCATGGCCGAGAGCAGTAGCTGTTTGATGATGCAGATTCCAGCCAGGATGGAATGGGCTGAAGAAGTGGAGTTACAGTGTATCACAAACATTTCTCCTCCACAGAGTAAGTACAAAATCAGTTGGATTGCTCTTTCCACAGATTTTTTTTTTTACAATTTTAAGAGTGTATTTAAGAGTATGAGTTGACAATAGATAATTTCTGCCAGATCCAAGCCAAAAGTGCCCTATTTCTGACCTATTCTGCTATTAGTTTCCTCTTAGAATTGTAAAGATTTTAAAGAACTTAAAGAGATTCTATTTCAATCATAAATACTTTCTTGAATAAAAGTACATATTATGTACAATGTTTTGAAGGTAAGTGATTAAAAATGAAGACAGGCTTAAAAGAAATCTGACAAAGGAAATACATTATTTATACAAATATTCTCTAATAATGAGTGCTAAATTTTCATTTTAGACCCTCCTAGTAGCTATATGCAAATTTTCTTCTTTGGAAACATGAAATATATAGAAAATTATATTACTCTTATACTTGGACTATTTGATTTTATAATGAATTTTATCTACACAAGAATAATGTTCATGGTTTTTGACTAATGACTGGATCTGAGTTTATGCTGTAAATTCATGGGTGCACCAGTGGCTCATGCCTGTAATCCTAGCCTACTACTCACAAAGTGAAACTTTAATTGAGTTTTGCTGTTACTCATGTTTGAAGTTTTACCAGCCTGGCCCCAGTTCTCCCCCACTGATTCTTGGGCAGAAGGATGGTAGAGACTGTTGATAGAATGACCAATGGCTGTGCCTATTTAGCTTTTAAGTTTGGCATTCACTATGATTTTGATTGGTTGTAAATGATCCCTTCTTTGCCAGTGGTAAAAGAAAATGTGGGTTATTGTGTGATAACTGAGATGCCAAAATGTTAAAGTGGATGAAATTTAGAATATTTTTTTTAGGAATGATCACAAATTTACAACATGTTGAACATGTATTTTCTCAAGAACTACTACTTGCAGGAGCGTATTAACCCCAGCTTCAATTAAATGAAAATGTAGCGGAGGTTTGGAAAGGGGACTCCTTGAGGTAATATTTTAGAAGTTACCATTGGTCTTCTTCCCTGTGAGTAAAGACTTTATTTTTTCAACTATTTAGAAGAACTTAGTAAAATTGCAGGTGATGGTTTTAGACTTTCATTAGAGTGGTCTACAGTAGGTAATGGTATTTTAAAAGCAAAGGAGAAAAGCTGTTTTCCTTATTTCAAATGTATAGAGACAAGGCTTAAGATGTTACAGGGCTGATTTCCTGCTCTGATGATGCCTGACATCTCAGTGCCCATGTATCATGTAATGTTTCATAAAATATTATTGTGATAAATGGTGTGTGCTACTTAATGCCTTGCTTATTTGTGCCCTGTAAGCTCCCTCCACCCTCAGCTTTCCTCTCAATTTCTCTTTCTGTCTTTTTATTCTTGGTGATACATCTCATTTGGGAATCATCTGGAAAATAAATGGTGATCATTTTGTTATGCATAGATAACACAGGAGCTTCCTTTGTGCTGAAGTGGAATGTGTTGGGGTTATTCAGTATTAGGATAATATGGTAATAATAGATCATAAGAAAAATACCAACAATTATTGACTTATGAACACCCTCCAACACTATGCAAAATACTTGGGATTCTATTTCACTTATTGCTTTTTGTTGGGGGGGGGGTCCGGTCGTGGGGCCTGAACTCTGGGCTTGAGCGCTGTCCCTCAGCTCTTCAGCTCAAGGCTAGCCCTCTACCACTTGAGCCATAGTGCCACTTCCGGCTTTTTTCTTTTTGCTTATGTGGTGCTGAAGAGTCAAACCCAGGGCCTCGAGCATGCAAGGAAAACGCTCTACCACTGAGCCACCTTCCCAGCCCTCACTTATTGCTTTAATTGCCACACAATCAGCATGAGCCATAGGACTCTGGCCCCCACACTTGGATCCTTTGTTCAAATGAGCTGTATTCTTTATACTGGCTCTAAATGAGCTTGATCTAAAAATTGAATAATTTATTGACTGATCTTCCTTGGACTGTGCTTCTCTCCTAAGTCATATTGCCAGAGAAAAATGTGGAATGCTCAGTCATTGTTGTCTCAGCCTCTCACTAAAGACGGTCTTCATGTTTCTGGGACTATTTGTACAAGGTGCTCCTGGGAAGCATTGAAAGGGAGGCGATGTGAGAGTTGAAGCATGTGTATTAGGAACTCTACAATTGTGTGTCTTAGCTATTTTGTGTTTCATGCATGTATTGTATCTGAGGTCGTGTGTATCAGTGGGTTTTTAAATTATTATTGTTATTAATTAGTTGTACAAAAGAGTGACAATCCCATAAGTCAAGTTATGAGTACAATGCTTTTTTGGTCAGTGTCATCCCTTCCTTCGTTCTCTGTCATATTCCCCCTCCTCTACCTATCCTCAAGTAAGACAGTTCATTTTTTGCATAACATACATTCAATATAAAGACTAATATATTTGTATCAGTGTTTCGGGAATGGTAGATTTCATTTTCATTTGTATAACATCTTTTCATAAGAAATTACAGAATGAATGTGCTTGAGGCTAAGATTTGTGACTGTAAAAACAGCAATAGTTTCTATTATTAAGATCCATTTAAAAGTTAGTTCCCTTTACTTAGTTTTTTTAAAATGTTTTAATAGTGTTATAAAGGTGATGTACAGAGGGGTTAGAGTTATATAAGTCAAGTGAATAGTACATTTCTTTTTGGCCAATGTTACCCCTTCCCCTGCTCTCTCCCAGTTCTTCCCTTTACTTAACTTTTCCAATGTCATTTAGATCACTTGCAAAGAGTAGTGTAAATTATTGCATTAAATTAGAAGTTTTGTAGATAAAACTGTCTCTTTGGAATTATTGGCTGAGTGTAAATGGTGAATACTAGAAATGTAGAATATTTATAGGTGAAGCAGTAGAGCTACATTTCTATATACTAGTGGGAAGGGATAACCATTGGGGATGTAAGAAGAATAGAAGCAATCTAAAACCTCATGTTTATAGACTGAATTGTCAATAGACAATCTTATTTAAATACCTAGATGCTCACATGTCAGCTGAAGATTGATACAGCATAAGCAAATACGTTATTCTGCACCTAGCATCCATTACGTATTTTTCACAAAACAGGTAGTGATTTGAGCTTAATGTATCTCATTTTTCGCTCCTCACCCAAGTGACAGAGAAGGTTCATCGTTTCCCTTGTGTCCACATAAACTCCTCTGAACTTCACTGCTGCTCGTCTCCCTGTGTCATCTCACACGCTGTACTGCCTTGGAGAGACTGATGGAATTCACTGTCCTTTCTCCAAAAGCCATTTCATTTTTCACAGAGATTGAGATTGATGATTTTCATCTTGGCATATGAAGAACTAAAGCATTTCATCTTTTTTTTTTTTTTTTTGCTGCCTGCACAATCAGAATGCAACCTGGCTCAAACTGCACAGGGGATGGGAGCGTTAAAGAATTGAGTTAAGTATTTCCTTGGTAACAGTGTGCAAGGCCCCACTTTATTGATTATTATCTACAACCCATTTAAATTTATTGACAAAGAAAAAGTGATCTAGATTCTGTTGCTGCAATCAATGTGCTTTGGGCTATTGTTCTCTCAAGCTGAGACTGCCCTCCTGACACTGACCCTTCAAGGACAGGAATGGCGTCTATTTATCTTTTCTACTCCCAGCACCTAAGATGGTCTTTCACCTAGTAGCTGGTAATAAGTCTTTATCGAGTGGGTGGATAAATGGATGGACAGTGGGATAGTTTATACTGAAGACTCAGCCAACTCCCAATTAGTAAAAAAGAAAAAAAAAGAAGACAGGTTAAGTCAGCTGATGGCCATTCTTTAGCAGCTGTACAAATGCACTCTGAACTTGAAAACATACTGAAATGTGTGTTTTCTATGAATTATTCTTGAGTGTCATGCAAGGTACACATTGAATTTCATTCCTAAAATGAAATTCAACGGTAAAATAACCCTTTCAAAACAATTAAAAATAGACACACAGAAGAATCTAGTTTATAAACCCTCCACAAGTTAGCTTTTTGGCTTTTCAACACTCTCTTTGTCACGATCTGCTTGCTTCCACGTTGATACATGGAAGTCTCCCCAGCCTTGTCTACAGCTCCTCCTTTTCTCATTCAGCTATGCAGTTCTGCATGGAAGTATTTAAGGAGCTTCTGTCTCCTACATGCTCACATGGAGCCTTCTGCACAACCTGGGTTACCTGGTCTTCTCTATAATGACCCCCACTCTACTTTTGTGTAACATTTAGTTCTTCCCATCAAATGCAATTCCACAGACCATTGTTGCAAATGTACTCCCAGCTCTGAAAACAACTGTGGTAAAATTAAGGTGTAAGAATTATCAGAGCAAAGCCGGGCGCCGGTGGCTCACGCTTGTAATCCTAGCTACTCAGGAGGCTGAGATCTGAGGATCGTGGTTCAAAGCCAGCCCAGGCAGGAAAGTCCGTGAGACTCTTATCTCCAATAAAAACCACTAGAAAACCAGAAGTGGCACAGTGGCTCAAGCGGTAGAGTGCTCGCCTTGAGCTGAAGAATGCAGGGACAGCGCCCAGGCCTAGAGTTCAAGCCCCAAGACCGACCAAAAAAAAAAAAAACTTATCAGAGCAAGAGCAGGGACTTAGTATTCTCAGCAGAAAGCATAGTGTTTTTCACATGACAATTGATGCAGAGGTGCTGGCTGAGGAGAAATTATCTGTTAATCTCTGTGCTCTTGAAATATCCTGTGCCCAACAGAATGCGGGGTTTTTGTTTTTGCTAGTGAGAGTCTCCATTTTAGTTCTTCAATATATCATCCCAACAGAATGTGGGGTTTTTGTTTTTGCTAGTGAGAGTCTCCATTTAAGCTCTTCAATATATCATCCCAGTTTTCAGCCTGGAAGCAATCTGAATAACACATTAAGAGTCAATGTTCTAGTAACACTCTTCTAAATTCATATATTTAGCATTGCACCTGTAAGGCTTGCCCTGGGAAAGTAGAGTAGACTCCTCCCTCCTCTTGGCTAAATCTCTCCCTGCATCACTTAGGTTACCAGCACACTCGGAGGCAGTCACCTCCCCTCCCTCCCTGAGGTCACATCTGCATCCAGTACGGCCACACCTTCTTCCATCCCTGGCCTTCTTCCACATCCTGGCCCTGCTGTGGTTTGACCCGTTTTCCAGCCGTATGGGCTTCCAACTTGACCGGAGGCAGCCTGCAGCTCGAAAATAAACCTTTCCCCACGTGCTGCTCTCTCTTTCCTCGGCTGCCAATTTAATTTATCTAAGAGCACCCTAATTGCCTTTTTCCCCTACTGCTCTGCAGTCCTAGACGACAAAAAAAAGTTGAAAGTTGATGTTGTGTTGCTGTCAGCAAATGCATCCTATGGGGCATGCTGAAAACTTGTTGAATTTTGTTGTGGATGACCAGTAGGTGACAGCACGGACATTTATCAAATGCAGAATGGGCAAAAATATTAAATAATATGTGCTAATCATCTATAGATGGGAAGAGAATGGAAATGGGCATTACTGGGATAGAAGATTTCTTCTAAAGTGTTAATCAAGGGTATTTTTTTTATTACAGGAGCAATGTATCTCTAGATTCCCAGTGACTGGTATTTGGAGACAAAAAATAAGGCAGAGTATTCATTTCAGCAACTGGGAATAAGCTGCTAGAAATGATGACAACTAGTTTACTGAAGAATTATTCCTTTTTTTTTCTTTGTGCCTGTCTTGGGGCTTGAACATCAGGGCCTGGGTGCTATCCCTAAGCTTTTATGCTAAAGGCCAGTGCTCTACCACTTTACCACCTGAACCACAGCTCCACTTTCTGGTGATAATTGGAGATAAAAGTCTCATGGATTTTTCTGCCCAGGCTAGCTTTCCTTGATCCTGATCTCAGCCTCCTGAGTAGTTATGATTACAGGCATGAGTCACTGGTGGCCTGTGTTGCTCCTTATTTCCTTTTATCTCCATCTGTTGAGCATATCTGAATCTAGGTAGGAATACGTGTCCTTCATCCAGTCAAGCTGTCAAGCAGGAGTTAGTGTAATAGCATTCACTGGTAGCTGAATATAACACGTGTCCTTGTAGACATTCTTCCAGCTTCTTAGGTTTCCTCTCCTTAGAATGAGATTGTTCTTCAAATTTTAAAAAATGTGATTATAACAGCTCCCACTTAGTATTTTTAAGGCCCTGTTTTTCTAAAATGAAATTCAACAGTAAAATAGCCCAAGTGCACCTATCATTAATACAGTATTTAAAGGAAAAAATACATAGTAATTTATGATAAGATGTGTAAAAGACTGGATATGACAATACTGAAAATTGTAACAAAATGCTGACACCCACACTTCCCATTGCTCAGATGATGATGATGAACTGATGCTATGAATTCATACTCTTGCACATGCATGGTGCCTGCCAGGGACCAGGGAAATCAAAGTGAGTGCTCAGTAAAATTTTAGACAACAGCAGCAAACTATGACCATTTCTCTTTGCAAGATGCCTATGTGTTTATATGTAAAACAGGTTAAGTTCTGGGTGCAGGATATCATAAAACGTGCTTTGTAGTCCATGAATTTCCAGTATAATTTTAGGAACCCATGACAAATAGCAGGAGAATGAATGATTGATTAACTATGAAGGTCTTCCCTGAGCACTGCAAGATATCTGGCGATTCTGGTGCCTGCTCACAAAATGCCAACAAGTCATGGAAATCTGAGTTAACTGTCTCTCACCAGTTCCCAAAGACTTTGCTGGGAACCACTGCCCTAGGGAAGAGGCTTCTAGTTGTTTGTTTGTTTTTGAGTTGTTTCAGTCCTCTTTCCCTTTCAAAAGTGAACAGGGAGAGGAAGCCAAAATAGTAACCCTCAACTCCTAATTCAAGAAATCTGTGTGCAGCTCTGCCATCTTTGTTCTACCCTTAACCATGGAGCGGCCCAGGGTGAGGTAAACCAGCAGATTGCCATCTGTCTCCTCTATCAGAAGAAGGGTTTCTTATTCACTCACTGTCGTGTCCATAGCCTCATATTTAGATACACAATTAGTCTGAATAAAATTCTGGCCAACTAGATGAAGGCTAGGTATTACTAGACTACTAAGCCTTACCCCCGAAATACCATCAAATGAAATTCCAAAATCTATTACTTCATTAATATTTTATTATACAGAATAAACATAGAATATCAGTCAGTTTAGAAATCAGGTGAAATATTTCCCAACTGTCAACTGAAAGAGAACACTGGAAGAAAATAAGGAGCAAAAAGAGATACATGGATAGTTTCATGTAATTTATGATTGGGATTGGATTAAGGATTGGGAACATAATTCCAAACTTTTGGCTTAGGGTATCCTAATTTTTTTGGTGTATCTAATTTAAAGTTCGAGCTTAGTCTTTAAAGCATATTAAAATTAATATGTAAAGATTATTTTTCATGAACTATCCACTTGTCAATTTATCTACATGTGTTTTCAAAATACATTAGGTCCTCTCTCTTTCCCAAGCTGTGTTCTAGAAATCTGGGAAGAAGATGACACCGTTTCTACTTTGCAAAAGCAGAGATCTGTGAGCACAGTACACCGTGGGGTATGAGACGTAGAA